CATGGAAGAGATTTGAAAATCCAACACTTTAGTAAAATCCCAAAGGATTAGAGCCAGCCCCCTAGAACTGTGAAAAGAAGTCTCCAGGTGGAAGAAAAAGAGAATAAGAAGACCCCAAATTAGGAATAAGCAAGGCATGTTTAAAAAACTGGAAGAAGGCCACTAGGGCTGGAGGGTCACTCAGAGAGATAGGCAGAAAATGATCCATATGCAAATTGGAAGCCATTAGAAGGGGGTGAGGGTATCTGACTGGAGTTTTTAGAAGATGCTCTGGGTGACGGGTTGCAGAGAATGGCTTCTCAGGAAGTAAGAGTACAGAACGTCAACCAGTATGGAAACTAATTCACCAGCACAGACAAGATGGTGGTGGTGTGGACTTTGATGACACCTAGCTCAGAGAAAGTAAGTTGTACATTTTTAAAGGAATATTACCAATAAAATAAAGTCAAAACTAAGGGAGAATTAAACAAAAAACAGTATTAACATATGTACTGTATACTACACAGATTTCTTATCCTAAAATAACTAAGGCTTGGCTCCAGTTTTCTTGGAAGGCACAGGTAACAAAAACATGTTCTCTCAAGTCTGTCCCTTCTTGTCTCTACAATTCCCATTTGTGGTCCTTCATCACTTCCCCCTTGTCTGGAAGCCCGGGACCAAAGCAGGGCCCTGGTCACTCCCAGTGGACAAAGAGTCCACTCCCAGTGGACAAAGAGTGGAGCCTATGGTCCCAAGCCTACCTAGAATGCCAATTACATCTCTTGGGGCACAGAAAGTGGGTAATAAGCATTAGAGAAACAAATGTTTCTTCCACTTTCTCTCATGTTTCGATAACACTACTTCCCTACAAAAAACATTTTGGAAATTTCTTGGGGATTATTTTAACTATTGCTTATTCTAGAACAGATAGGAAAAAAGGATTTTTATTCTCTGACCCACAGAGATGTGTCTGTCACTTTTAGACGTTCTTTCAGCACTGGCTATTACAAAAATAAACATCTTCTAATATGCTGGTTAGATGATAGAAAAGGTAATGTAGTGTTCAATATGCTTCTCTTCTGGACTCTGACAGTTTAGACGAAACCCTGTAACTTAGCGTTTGAGAGTGAAGACTCTGGAGTCAGACTGCGTGGGCTCAAATCCTGGCTTTTCTACTTACTGTGCACCTTCCAGCAAATTTATTTAACTTCAATAAGCCAGAAGTTCATCTATAAAATGGGAGTTTGGTAAGCTCCAAGGAATTTGAAATTGGTGAAATATGATGAGAACTGTTTGTGAATACAAGAGAAGGCTTCAAAGCCTGGGCTGTTCCAAACTTCCAATTCCTCCCATATCATCTGTCCCCTTCACATCTCCCCAAAACATACTCATCAACATACATTCTATTGCACACACATGCATACCACACGCATTCACACTGTAGGTGACAGCCTTCATTCTTGCAGAAAGTGTATTTAACCATTATAAGGAAATTCACTTTACTTACTAAAATAAAATCTTTCTCATTTAGTACAGATTAAAACAACTCCTAGGGGCACCTGGGTGGCTCTGTTGGGTGAGCATCAAACTTCAGCTCAGGTTATGATCTCACAGCTCCTGAGTTCAAGCCCCATGTTGGGCTCTGTGCTGACAGCTCAGAGCCTGGAGCCTGCTTTGGATTCTGTGTCTCCATCTCTCTCTGCCCCTCCCCTATTTGCGATCTGTCTCTCTCTCTCTCTCTCAGAAATAAACACTAAAAAAAAAAAAAAAAAAAAAGAAAATCTGGAAAGGAGTAACTGGATCCCAGAACTTGCAACTAAACTCCATCACCCTGCAGGCTCAAAAAATTTCAATGGCTCCCCTTTTTCCATAGAAAAAAATGATCCACTTTTTTTTTTTTTTTCCAGGAGTGCATGAACTCCCAGAGCCAGCTCAATTTATGTCCACTTCCTAATTGTGGGAAACTTGGATTCTACCAAATGTTTCCCAGACAACTGCTTGAGTATAAGGAAGGTAAGACCCGGTAAGGGAAAGTTCAGACTCTTTCCCAACACTGGAAATGGGTCCGTTGGATTTGAAACAAGTGAATAAGGTTCATAATATATTCTCGACAAAAGTTTCCTAAGTGTTGGCCTCTGTAACCAGCTACTGGGCAGCATTTATAAAGTGGACACCAGGGGGTAGCAAAATCTCACTCTCCCAGTTCCCCAGCACTAATTACAAGGAAGCCAGAGAGTCTCCTTGACTTCAGGGCCCATAACCCAGTGGTGGAAATGAACTCCAGCTCCCTACCTCTAACTCTGCTGGGAACATTATCACTAAAGTTTGCTTGCCCTCGATTTTTTTTTTTTTCTTTGACACCATGGAGCAGAGGGATCTTCTTGTCTCCAAGAAGAATCAACAATTTCTCTTCTTTTCCAGACCCAGTGGAGTGGAGAAAGGATGGAGTTTAGCTTTCAGAGGTAGTGAAAGAAGAGCTCATCACCTAGGCGACGCCCTCCTCTCCAGCGGTTCCAACCACTGCCCAGAGGTTCCAGCCTCCTGGCCTCACAGGTGCTGCACCCACTGGCAGGACGTTTTCCAAACGTCAGCCCCCAACCGCAGTGGCCCATGCCTTCACGCCCCTCTCTGGGGACTATTTAGCTTTCCGATCTCCTCTCAAACTTCCACCCTTGGGGAGTGCCGCCCCCCACCCCCACCCCCTACAGGGCTTCCCTTTGCCCGCTCGCAGGAGGAACAAAAGCACCTCCCGTCTATGCCTAAGCCTCCCCTGCTCTCCTGGGAAACCCTAGCAGGGGCTTCATTTCACATCCAGACGCAGTGGAGAATGGGTGAGACTAGAACTTTCTTAACTAGACTACCCCTCTTTGTCTGCTGCGCCAGATAACCATCCTCACCGCCTTGAGCCCTAGCGACCTTGGGAGACTTGTATCGCCACCCCCATAAGAAGGAAGGGTCTTTCGAATCATGGGATCTGACTCGGGGAGAGGGGCGGGGTGTCTGATGCCTTCCCTCCGCCAGCCGAAAATGGAGAGACATGATGCAGAGGGGAAGGGGCAGGGAGGAAAGAATTCAGAAAACGTCTGCCAAAGTGCACACCCCTGCAGGAGGATTTGATCCGAAGACCCTGCTCCCCTTCCGTCACGATGTTCACCCCCACCCCCCACCCCAAGCCTTCCCAGCTCCCTAATTCCGCCTATCCCCCCCCCCCCCCGCCTCCGCCCTCCCCGGGCCGCACAGAGGAGCCCATTGTCGGAGCCAGAAGGCTCGAGGCCGAAGGAGATGGGAGGGAAAGAGGGCGGGCAAGCCCCTGGAGGGTGGAAGGAATCCCCTGATTTCCCTGCCCTCAGCTCCACCAGAGTCGGCAGGGGCCTGGGGGTCTTTTCCGAGCTCCAGGTGCTGCCGAAGTCTGGCAACCACGGGGAGTACAGGTTCCCGGGCGAGTTACAGACGGGAGGCGCCGGCCGCCAAAGGACCCCAGTCCTAGGCTAGGTACCCCAGAAAATTCACGCACGCCCCACCCTCTGGAGTGTCCCTTGCGGAAGCTAAACTGATCCCGCAGGGAGCGAGGCGGCGGTGGCAAAAGAGGGGCATCCTCGGCAAGGCGGGCGTCCGAGGGCCAGGGTCGGGGCTGCCCACTGGAGGGCGGGGCGGAGGAGGAAGCGCGTTGCGGGAGAGGGAGGCAGATCTGCTGGGGCGTCGGGGAAGCCGCGGAGAAGCTCCGCGCGGGAGAAGGAGTCCCGGCAGGGGGTCCGGCGCGGAGGCGGAGGCGGGCACTGAAAGGCGGGGCGGGGAGGGGCGGCCGTCTCGGCCCTCCCTGGCGGGGCCCCGCGGCCTGGGAGCCCGGGCGGGCCGATCCGCCACCGCGGCCGGAGCTGTCCCCCAGCCAGACCCGGCGAGACGCGAGCGGCGGGAGGGAGGCGGCGGCGCGCCCGGCCCCGCCCGCCCGAGCGTCGGACGCGGCCCCGCGCCGAGCCATGGTGAGTCCGGCGTCGCAGCCCCGGTGTCCCCCTCTGCCTTAGCGCAGCCCGCTCGGGGCCGCCAGCCCCCAGCCCAGTGCCTCCAGCGCCTGCCTTGGTCTGTCGAGCGCTTCTGGGACTCTCCTCCCGCCCATCCCCCCCTTCTTTTCTTTGGTCTGTCTGCCCCACTGTCTGGCTCTGTCCCCACCGGGTATTGCTCTCACTCTCTTTCTTCCCTTCTTCTCCGCCCCCTCCCCCATCCTCCCTTTGGTCGCTCCCCCAGTCCACACGCCTCCCTCCGCCCTCCTCTGTCCCGACCTGTGCCTTCCTTTGCAGGATCTTCCCTCCCCCTCCGGGTCCCAGCTCCTTACCCGCGGGAGACCCCTGCGGGTTGGTGCTGCAGTGGCCCTGGAAGGGGCCCGGCCTCGGGTCATGAGAACTGACCTGCCTGGAACCACCATTTTCCATCCCAGTCCCCAGCCCGGTGAGCTGGGCCCACCCATCCGGCCCTGGGGGACCGGCCACAGCTGTGGCTGGGCTGGGGCCAGGGACGTGGCCAAAGAGGGAAATTCCCGTGGAGAAAGACGGGTTGCTTCAAGATAGTGGACAGAGTGGGGAGGGGGCGTGACGCTGCCAGAGCAGACAAGAGATGGGGGCGTCTGGGGAGAGTGCCCCAGGGCTCTCGCTGCAGGGAACAGAAGCACTGTCTTAGAGTCCTCAGCTGCAGAGGGGAGGGAGCACTAGCGGGAGCTCCCCGCAGGAGGTAGGAGACTCTGGCAGCAGCAACTTAGGACACAGGAAGCAGGGTGGCACTATTAAGGGGGAGCCCCTACCAACAGGAGTGGACACTATTCTGGGAACTTTCACTCCAGAAGTTCTCTCAGAAGAATCATTCCAAGTAGTGAGCACTGCCAGAGAGAGCGCCCACTCCACTGCAGGGGGGTGGGAGGTACAAGGCTAAAGGGGCGCTCACTGCAAGAGTGGAGGAGGGGGGAGGCCCTGCCAGGGGGCGCTCACTGCAAGGAGGTGGGGGGAGGAGCACTACCGGGGCTGCTTCTCTACAGAAGGAAGGGCACCCCCTGGCAGGGAGGCTGGAGCAAGAAAAAAGAGGAACTGGGCCAGGGAGAGCTGACTCAGTCTCTCTGGTCTCCTTTTTGGTCCTGGCCGACTGGAGGCCCGGTCTCTGTGCTCCTGCCCGCCGCCTCCCACCCCAGACCCCTCCTCCCCTCCTGCCGCTGCAGTTTCCTGTGGCTGAGACTCTCGCTCAGCCATGAGCTCACCGCCCCTAATGGGTTGCAGCTGCCTCGCTGCTCCAGCTCTAGCTACCCCCTCCTGGCCTCCGATCGGACAGCCCACTTTGCCTCACCCCGCCACCCTCCACTCTCCCACCCTCCCACCTCCCCCCGCCCCTCTTTGCGCTAGCCGCTAGCCGGGTCCCCGGAACACTGGGGGGTCTGTCTGCTCGCCCACACACCTTGGGGCTGGGTCTCCGCGCTGACGCACTGAATGTCCGACTCCGGAGTGGCTGCCCTGGCTTCTCAGAGGGTCAGGACAGATGGGCAACTGGTAAAATATGCAGTTTTGTCTGAAGAGCAAAGACAAGACTGGGGGGAGGGTGGTCATAAAGAACTAGATGAACACGGCAGTGAGCATCCCCTTGCCCACTTAGAGCAAACAAATCTGATACAAAGAACTTCAAAGCCATCTTGAAAGAGAAATTAGTCTGCAAAGGAATATAGCCTGAGGAGTGGTTGTTTAGGGTACACATTGGAGAAAGATACCCATTGATTCACCTAGGGAGGCAAATTTAGAGAAAGCAGGGCTGAGTCTTTTGAGACAGTGGCTACAGGTGGAGTTGGTGGAGAGGTCCTACTGGAATCAGAAAATACATAACATCGAAGCCTCCTCCCTTCCCCACATGTCCCTTTTGTGACTATTTTCTCTTTCAGCTGTACCCACCCCGTTCTTTGTAACCCAATCCCACATGTGGGGAAGTGGGTGATACCTTTAGAGCCACTCTGAGAAGGAAGAGGTTGCTAGAAAGACGTCACAGACAGCCCTTTAGTCCTCCTTCTTCCCACCCAATGACCATCTCTAGGAGATGATTGTTCATGGATGGTGGCACCTCCACTTGAGATGGAGCTCCCCAGATGGTAGACCCTGTGAGGAGGGGCTTATAGGATGGCTGTGTGAAAGCTCTCCACCCTTCAGAACTCTCTCAGCCATCACTGAATCTTCTGGTGGCCCAGAGGCCTGCCTCTCCCTGAGGAGTCCCTATGCAATCGTCCCAACTCAAGAACCAGGAATGGCCCTGAGATCAGAGACATTCACCAAAAATTCTCCCTGGCCCTCCAAAGCCAACGTCTCAGAGCTCCAGTGTGGAATACACCACTAGTCCTGTGCACTCTGACTGATCCAGTCCCACCGGGGCCATCCCAGGCTCATTCAGCCACCATTTCCTGAGTGTCCTCTCTGAGCACATAATGTGTATGAGGTGGCCCCTGGGAGTCACTCCCAGCCCCATACCAGGAGCCATGCTCTCCAGGGATCTGCAGCCCGTCTTATCTCTCCCAGGAGCCCGAGCCAGTGGAAGACTGTGTGCAGAGCACGCTGGCCGCCCTGTATCCGCCCTTCGAGGCAACGGCCCCCACATTGTTGGGCCAGGTGTTCCAGGTGGTGGAGAGGACTTATCGGGAGGACGCGCTGAGGTACACGCTGGACTTCCTGGTGCCCGCCAAGCACCTGCTTGCCAAGGTCCAGCAGGAAGCCTGTGTGAGTGGCCCCTAAGACCCACTGTCTCGCCTCAGAGACTAGCCAGACTAATTTCCATCTACGCCAGCTCCCAACACTGATGGCCCCCAGAGGCACAGGCCACTCAGATACTAACGCACACAGATACTCATCTTCCCCACATATTGACCCCTAAAAAAAATATCAACTCCCACAGTCCCATCAGACCCAATTCCAGACATTTCCCCCCTCATATGGATTTCTCAAGATACTAACTCCCCCAAACAGGACTCAACAGAGATCCTTCACTTCTGCCGATATAAAGACTCCTAAGACTCCTAAGAGTCTCTGATCCCTCCAAGACAATGGCATCTGCTGACCATACCATATGTAATGACTCAGTTGTTACCCTCCCACGCATGGAACTCGTTTGCTAGAGAAGCTTCCTACTAGCAGAAAACTGAACAGTCCCAATCCTTTCCTCTGCTACATGACCATCCCTCCAGCTCCCCTGGGATTGTGACCTATCAGGCCAAAGGCCAGCCCTGCCTAGGGTGGTCCCATTCTAACTGCCTTCTCCTGCTGGCTTCATCAGCGGGGGCCTGAGCGTAGTCTCACCTCTCTCCCCAGGCCCAGTACAGCGGTTTCCTCTTCTTCCATGAGGGCTGGCCCCTCTGCCTGCACGAGCAGGTGGTGGTGCAGCTTGCAGCCCTGCCCTGGCAGCTGCTACGTCCAGGAGACTTCTACCTGCAAGTGGTGCCCTCAGCAGCCCAAGCACCCCGCCTGGCACTCAAGTGCCTGGCCCCAGGGGGCGGGCGGGTACAGGAGTTGCCTGTGCCCAATGAGGCCTGTGCCTACCTATTCACACCTGAGTGGCTACAAGGCATCAATAAGGACCGGCCAACAGGTCGCCTCAGTACTTGCCTACTATCTGCGCCCTCTGGCATTCAGCGGCTGCCCTGGGCAGAGCTCATCTGCCCACGATTTGTGCACAAAGGAGGCCTCATGGTTGGACATCGGCCAAGCACACTGCCCCCCGAGCTGCCCTCTGGACCCCCAGGGCTCCCCAGCCCTCCACTCCCTGAGGAGGCCCTGGGCACCCGGAGTCCTGGGGATGGGCACAATGCCCCCGCTGAAGGACCCGAGGGCGAGTACGTGGAGCTGCTGGAAGTGACACTGCCTGCGAGGGGGAGCCCCACAGATGCTGAGGGCTCCTCGGGCCTCTCCAGGACCCGGACGGTACCCACCCGAAAGGGTGCTGGAGGAAAGGGCCGGCACAGGAGACACCGGGCCTGGATGCACCAGAAGGGTCTGGGGGCCCGGGACCAGGATGGGGCACGCCCACCTGGTGAGGGAAGCAGCACTGGAGCCTCCCCCGGGTCTCCCCCTGCAGCTGAGGCTCTCCCAGAAGCGACAGCCCTAGAGGTATCTGAGTCTCCAGCAGAGACATTGGGGGAATCCTCTGAATCTTGCCCCCTGAGGCCAGGGGAGGTTGGGGGAGGAGCAGGCCAGGGGGCTGAAGGACCACCCGGCACCCCTCGGAGAACAGGCAAAGGAAACAGGAGAAAGAAACGTGCTGCAGGCAGAGGGGCTCTTAGCCGAGGAGGGGACAGTGCTCCACTGAGCCCTGGGGACAAGGAAGAGTCCAGCCATCAGGAAGTCCATGTCAGTCTGCCCCCGCCAAATGAGCAGGAGCTTCCAGGATGCAGCCCGGTTGAGGAGGAGCACAAAGGCTCAGAGAAGCCAGAGTCTGAGCTGAAAGAGGAGCTCGGACCAGCAGACAAAAAAGAGTCTCGGCCCCCAGAAGCCTGTGGACCTATAGAAGAGACGGCCAGAAAGAAGGAGCAGGAGGGCCCCAGCCTAGTATGCATGGCAGGTGAGATGGCACCAGAGCCGGTAAGGCAAGGGTCAGCCTAGGTTGGGCCAAGGGAGGGGGCTAGAGGAGGAGCTGGGAACCTGACAGCCAGAACCTTCCCCACCTCGGGCCCAACAGCTCTGCTTGTGTCTGTGCAGGACCCACAGGTCCAGAAGGGCTTCCATCAGACCCACCAACACCACCCTTGGAGGCTGTGCAGGAAATGAAAGGGGACAGTGTCCCAGAAGAGGCCTCTCCAGTCTCCATCTCTGATGACCCGGATGTAGCTTGGGACTTGATGGCATCTGGATTCCTTGTCCTGACTGGTCAGTGGGCATCAGTGTTAGGAGGGAAAGAGAAGCAACCAGGGTGGGCTGTCGAGGGAGGCAGGGTGGATGGGAGGCAGCCAAGGCCTGCCCCCAGCCAGGACAGCCTGTCCATTTTGTGTCCTCAGGAGGGATGGACCAGAGTGGGCGAGCTCTGCTGACCATTACCCCACCATGCCCTCCTGAAGAACCCCCACCCTCTCAAGACATGCTGAGCACTGCTCTTCATTACCTCCACTCATTGCTCAGGTAACCGAGGCCCAGCAGTGGCACCCTGGACATTAACCTCCCGGTCATGAGGACCCTGGCCTCCTTTCTTCTCAGAACACTGACTTCTTGACGTCTAGGATACCTAGTTCCTCACCCCTCACATTTTTAAGTCATTGACTGCTGACCTTGCTGACCTCTAACCTCCAGGATATCTTCATCAATCCTCAAAGTCAACATTGCTGACTTTCAATACCCTAAGGCACTACCTAGATTATCGGGGTATTGATTTACTCACTCAACAACTATTTACTAAGCCCCAAGAACCTAGTAGGCATCATGCTATGGACTGAAATTGAATTCACACCCTTCCAGAGCATTGAAGTCCTAATTTTTCAGACCATGATCCTATGATTTAGTAGCCATGTGAATACAGACTCCTGAATGCTAGATCACTGCCTCTTGGACACAAACTCACACTTTGGCCTTTTGCCCATTGCTTCCCAAAAGTACCAGGAACTAACTTCTCCTGAGAACTAGTAACAGTAAAGACAGACCCCGGGCCACTATCCCCTCAGTACACACACAGGTGCATACACACTGCCTCCTTGGCTCTTCTGCCCCCACAGGCCTGATCTCCAGATATTGGGGCTGTCCATCCTGCTGGACCTTCGAAAGGCACCCCCACTGCCTCCAGCACTCATTCCTGTTCTAAGTCAACTTCAGGTAACCAACCACCTCTTGACACAGGTATTTCTCCTGACCATAACCCTTCCCTGGTGGCCTGGAATGGCACCCAGTTGCCCACAGTTTAGGGCTATTCTTCTTTGCCCTTAGGACTCAGGAGACCCTCCTCTCATTCAGCGTCTGCTGCTTCTCACTCATGATGACCCTCTGACTGAATTCTATGGACTTCAGGTTTGAGCTCCTCACTCCCAACTAGTCCCCCTTAATAGTGGAGAGAGAAGAGCCCCAGGCTGGTCCCTGAACCCCTGGGTGGCCAGGCCAGAATCCCCTGCCTTCACATGTCTACAGGGCGCTGAGTTGGTGTCAGAAAGTGATCTGAAAAGAGTGGCCAAGCCAGAGGAGCTGCCGTGGGACTTGGGAGGTCACAGGGAACCCTCGCCCAGTTACTGGGTAGAGACACACCAGGTAAGCTTCACCACCCCTACCCAGGACACTGGGAGCCAGGAATGACCCAGGTCAGAAAATTCTGGGAGAGAGAGGGCAGATCTGAGACATGACCATGGGGTTGAGAAAAAGTGATTTCCTTTCCATTCAATTCAATAAGGTTGTTTTTTTTAATGTTTGTTTATTTTTGAGAGAGAGAGAGTATGTGAGCACAGAGGGGCAGAAAGAGAGGGGGAGACAGAGGATCCCAAGCAGGCTCTGTGCTGTCTGCACAGAGCCCGATTCACAGACTGTGAGATCATGACCTGAGCTGAAATCAAGAGTCGGACACTTACCAACTGAGCTACCCAGAGGCCCCTCAATTCAATAAGTATTTATGGCTCACAACCCATGATCAAAGTATTAAGCATGTACCATGGGCTACCAGTGACATGAGATGAGAGGAGTATGTTAAATGTTCTTTTTTTTTTTTAATGTTTATTTATTTTTGAGAGGGAGAAGGGCAGAGAGAGAGGGAAACACAGAATCTGAAGCAGGCTCTAGGCTCTGAGCTGTCGGCATAGAGCCTGATGCAGGGCTCGAACCCATGAACCATGAGATCGTGACCTGAGCTGAAGTCGATGTTTAACCGAATGAGCCAGTCAGACACCCCTGTTAAACAGGTTCTTAATGTGATATCAAGCAGCATATGATTTTTGATGGGACATAAGTAAGAAGCTATTGGAGAAGAGTGTAAGGTAGTTTTACTGGGGTTCTGGAACGAGCTGACAGTCATGAAGTCTGGTTCTAGTTCCATGTGACCTAGGACAAATTACTGTACCCCACTTCCAGAGATGGTACCCTTTCTGCACTTATTCCCTGCACCAACATCCAGGCCTCAGGGTCTTCAACCAAAAAATAGAGCAATTGTGATATAATCTCTGATTCTGTGAATCTAAGTGCTGTGAATATTCAAGAAAAGACAGGTGAACATGATCTGAGCTAAGTATGAAAGAGGGTTTGTAACATGGTCTCTAAACTATGCATCAAAGGGGATGTCAGTCTGAACAGGCAGAAAGGAGCATTTTATAGGGTGAACACCTAGCGCACAGAGGAAAAGGAGACTTACATTTACTACGCTGTATGCTGTACCAGTCCCATGCTAAGTGCTTACTTGGCATCATCTCTTTAAACCTCGCAAAATCCTGTGTGTCTTGTCCTCACTTTACAGTTGAGGAAACTGAGGTTCAGGGAGGTTTCTGGACCTGCTTAATGTCATACAGTTAGTAAACAACAAAGTCAGAAACTAACTGAGCATTGTCTCCGTAAGAGTCTCTGGGACTGCCCCACCTCCATCCCTGTGTGTGTGTTTCAGGAAGTGGCAAGGCTGTGCCTTCTGTGTCAAGGTGTGCTGTGCTCTGTGCGGCAAGCCATTGAGGAGCTGGAGGGAGCCGCAGAGCCAGAAGGAGAGGTAGGAAACGAGATGGGACAAAAGGGTTGGGATGGGGGCTCTCTAGTGGAACGCCAACATTCAACTGCTCCTTGCCCCCAGGAGGCTGTAGGAATGCTTGAGCCCCTACAGAAGGTGCTGGCAGATCCCCGACTGACGGAGCTGCAGAGGGATGGGGGAGCCATCCTGATGAGGCTGCGCTCCACCCATAGCAGCAAGTATGAGGGGGGGTGGGAGGGGGCGGGCGGGTGGACATGCGGGTGTGGAGACACAGCAGAGAGCTGTCAATAAACCTTAGCTGCCAGATAATTCTTACTGAGCAGGTATCTGGACAGGAGAGTATGCATTTCCACTTATTATAATTTTCACATAACATCCCTAGGTGCTAGTTATGATTACAAACGGATTTGGAGGATGACAAATGTTAAATGCCTTGGCCAAGATTAGTCAGTAATTCAGTCAGGATTCAAATCCAGGCCTGTAATCTGACCCACGATGCTGTGCTACATCTCATACTAAGATGCAAGGATGGAATGGGGTGGGGGCAGGGAAGGGTTGATAAGGGCAATAGTTCATTCTGCCCCTCTCCCCAGGCTGGAGGGCCCTGGCCCCGCTACACTGTACCAGGAGGTGGATGAAGCCATTCACCAGCTCGTGCGCCTCTCCAACCTGCATGTACAAGAGCAGGAGCGGAGGCAGCGTCTACACCGACTCCAGCAGGTGGGCCTGGACCCCCAGACCTCTCTTACTTGGCCCGGGAGCCTGGCCTCCAGCACTCCCTTTTCTGCTGACATTTATGGTTGATAGTGTTCTCCTAACCTCCTTCTTCTCACCCCACCCTGGAGGATGGTCTGGTCAGTGTGAGATTCAACAAGGGAGAGATAGCATCTAAGGACCAGCAAAGAAGAGAAGCCAGATCTCCCCCGCCCCACTGTCGATCTTTGATCAAGAATCCTTAGAGACTGTGAGATGCTTGGGTGCCCTAGGGGATTCTGGGAAGAGCTGATTGACTCTAGCGTGCCTATTAGCTTAAAATAATAAATGTCTCTTGGTACCAGCTCTTTAACTACACTTCTACCCAAGCTCCCTCAACTCTTTATACAATGTCTTCCCCAAACCTGAGGCTGGTAAGGTCCCAGCTTCCTCCACCTTGGAAGGAGAGGTCAATGGAAGATGCTAAGGCCTCTTATGTGGGGAAGATTCAGGGATAAGGCTGGCTTTTCTGAACATTCATTATTCTCCTGGGGTTAAGAGCCCCACAGGGATTATTCTAACATGTAGGGTATGGGGGTGGTTTGCAATCTGATTGTTCCCTCAGAGCTCCAGGCATGGTGAGTGAACACCTCATGGACCTGCATGTGGGCATCAGGGGAAGAGTCATCGCAGGGTCAATGTCAAAGTGGGGGACAGGGCTTTCTGTTTTCTGGGGTTTCCACATAGTGCCTTCCTCCATCCCAGTATCCAAAGGGTTGTGTCTCTTACTGTTTGTTTGTTTGCTTGCTTGTTAGCTGTTTCCCCATTTCAAAACCATTAGCACGCAGGATTTGGAGTCTAAAGTTCCCAGCTTGAGTTCTAGCTCTGTTAGGAATGAGATGTTGCACAGATCTTGAAGTGTCTCTGAGTTCTCAAGTCTGCATCTTTAGAATGGGGATGATAATGACACTGACCTCTCAAGGATGTTGGGATGACCACATGAATTCAACAAAGGACAGAGAAGTGTTTATGGTTGGGGTCTAATTATTAGGAACATTCTCAGACTTCTCCTCAGGCTGTCCTATGCCAGCTTCCAGCCTTTCTTCAGAAGAAAATATTACCATCCCTTTTTGGTTAAATATTCCAGAACTAATATGAGAGTCCTTAGATCGCCATAATAGGCAACTAGAGGTGGACACACGCACCCACATTCACACACACACACGCGTGCGTGCACTGTCTTGTCTCTCCAAGCCAGGCCCCTGGGACCCCTGCCCACTTGTCGTTGGACTCAGTGAATGTGAAACTTCTCCCAGCCCCCTCCATTATCCAGAGGATCCTCATCCACCTCAGGCACACACCAGCTTTATCTATGTCACCTGCAGACAGAGCCCTGGAGCCCTCATCCTCCTCCCTCAGTGCTCCTTGCCAGCCCAGCTTCCCCTTCTTCTTGTGCTTTACAAATGATCTCTCACTAGACCTTTGTGGGAACTACTACCAACCAATGTTACCGTTCCCACACTACAGCTGATATGAAATGGTTTACCCAGGGGTCCATGGATTAGGGTGGTGGGGTTGGAGCTGGATCTCAGCTCTCCTTCCCACCACATGGCCGCCTTCTCCCTCACGGCCCTGCTGTGCCCCCTTGTCTGTCTCAGGTGCTACAGTGGCTCTCAGGCCCTGGGGAGGAGCAGCTAGCAAGCTTTGCTGTGCCTGGGGACTCCCTGTCTGCCCTGCAAGAGACAGAGCTACAGTTCCGGGCTTTCAGCACTGAGGTTCAGGTGAGAAGGGGGAGAGGGGCAGGTGAGGAGAAGCACGCGGGGAAGGAGGGGCAGACTGACTAGGCCTGAGAATGGGGTCTGAGTTCAGCCTTCCTTCTTCAGGAGCGCCTGGCCCAGGCCCGGGAGGCCTTGGCCCTGGAGGAGGACACCACCTCCCAGAAGGTTCTGGATGTTTTTGAACAGCGGCTGGAGCAGGTTGAGAGTGGCCTCCATCGGGCCCTGCGGCTACAGCGCTTCTTCCAGCAGGTGTGTGCAGATCGTCTTCTGGGCCCACCATTGCCTGCCTTCTGCATGGAGAAGCTGATCAGGTAGTAGCTAAAAGCAGGGACTCAGGAGACCATCTCCTTTGATTCTTGGCTCTGCCACTTGCTGAGTGACCTGGGACAAGTTTCTAAACTTGAGCATGCCTCCATAGGCACCCACCTCACAGGGCTGCTGTGAGGACGACATAGGTAATATATAAAAGCACTTAGTACAGAGCCTGCCACTGATAAACACGGGGTAAGTATTGGCTCTTCTCACATCCAGGCCCCTCTGTCTCTGTACCAGCTTGGAGTGACATGGTTAGGCAGTGGTGCTGGGATAGTGAAGGGAGTGCTCTCAGAGGACTAAGAGGGTGACGGGCACTGGGAAGCCAGCGGCAAAAGAGGACAGGAGCTGTCATTGGGCAGCATGTGTAAGTGGCACAGAACCTCATTCTTTCTCTCCCCATTCCCGACCACCCACTTTGGCCTGGCAGGCACATGAATGGGTGAATGAAGGTTCTGCTCGGCTGGCAGGAGCGGGACCGGGTCGGGAGGCAGTGCTAGCAGCCCTGGCCCTGCGGCGGGCCCCGGAGCCGAGCGCCGGCACCTTCCAGGAGATGCGGGCCCTGGCCTTGGACCTGGGCAGCCCTGCAGCCCTGCGAGAATGGGGCCGCTGCCGGGCCCGCTGCCAAGAGCTGGAGAGGAGGATTCAGCAACACCTGGGAGAGGAGGCGAGTCCACAGGGCCACCGGCGACGACGGGCAGACAGCACCAGCAGCGGAGGGGCCTCCCGGGGCCCCCACAGCCCCTCGCCCAGCCTTAGCTCCCTGCTGCTCCCCAGCAGCCCTGGGCCACGTGCAGCCCCATCCCATTGCTCCCTGGCGCCCTGTGGGGAGGACTGTGAAGAGGAGGGCCCTGACTTGGCTCCAGAGGCAGAGGGCAGGTCTCCAAGGACCGTGCTGATCCGAGGCCTGGAAGTCACCAGTACTGAGGTGGTCGACAGGACGTGCTCACCCCGGGAACATGTGCTGCTGGGCCGAGCTGGAGGTCCAGACGGGCCCTGGGGAGTAGGCACCCCCCGGATGGAGCGCAAGCGAAGCATCAGGTGAGAGCCCAGGCCAATCAGTGCCCAAGAGGCAGGCCCAACGGCCCAGCAGGAAAAGACTGCGAAGTTATTGGAGGTGGTGACTCCCTCCCGTGCCCCCACCTCCTCTGACACTACTTCCTGTTGCTCCTGCAGCGCCCAGCAGCGTCTGGTGTCGGAGCTGATTGCCTGTGAGCAAGAGTATGTGGCCACCTTGAGTGAGCCAGTGCCACCTGGGCCTGAGCTGACTCCTGAACTGAGGGGCGCCTGGGCTGCCGCCCTGAGTACGCGGGAGAGGCTTCGCAGCTTCCACCGGACACATTTCCTACGGGAGCTTCAGGGCTGCGCCACCCACCCCCTGCGCATTGGGGCCTGCTTTCTTCGCCACGTGAGTGACCCCTCAAACTTCTTCCAGGTCCTCTCCCTTCTCATGCTTCAGCCCCATCCACTTGTCCCTCCTTCTCAGTATCCATTCCCCGCCACCTCCCAAAGTATGTGGTCCGAGACTCTGGGGCCCAGTCTTGTTCTCTGGGCCCCTCTGGATCTCCTTAGCCTGTGTCCCTGTCCTCAAGTGCAGCCTGGCCTTCACTCACTACATGGAAGCCGGTCGTTTCCTAGGCAGACCCAGTGGCCCGTCTCTCCTCTGCGCTGTAGTGAGGATGGGGAGGAGGAAAAGGAGAGGCTTGTCTCTCACCAGATAATGGCTTGTCTCTTCCCTTCTGGCACAGGGGGACCAGTTCAGCCTTTATGCCCAGTATGTGAAGCACCGACACAAACTGGAGAATGGTTTGGCTGCACTTGGCCCCCCAACCAAGGTAACCTTTGCTCCAGCCCTCATGAGAAGGAGAGGGGTCAAGAGTACCCAAACCATGCCACCCTCAAAGTCTCTCAGGGAAAGAAAGCTTTCCTGGATGTGCCCAGGAACATCACCTACTAATAAGCTCCCAGAATTGCTGAGGGTGGGACAAACACCAGCCTGGGAGCCAAGTGAGCATACATTTTTATCCTGAGGGACTTTGGGCAAGACTCTTGATTTCCTCTGGGTCTCTGTTTCTGCATCTGGTCAATGGGTACAATATACACTCTGTCTAACTCACAGAGTGCTCTGAGGATCAAAAGATTTTACATCAAAAGATACGAAAGTGATGTTAAAGTTAAAAGCCAGAGACTGTAAGGGATAATTTGTGTTCCTCTTTCATTCTCCTTCAAGATAGAGGATGATTGACTCTCCTGCAGGCCCCCTACCTGCTTTCTTCCTGGGGAAAGTTTTCATCTTACCTTTGGCTGTATCTGGGCTTCATCTACCCCTGAAAGCCTGGACTACCATCTACCTTCCCTACAGAACTCAGCCCCCACCCTCCTCATCCCTGTCTGTCTCCTCCCCAACTAGGGCTCCACAGAGAGTGGCCCTTACCTGCCCCGCGCCCTGCAGCAGCCCCTGGAGCAGCTTGCTCGGTATGGGCGGCTCCTGGAGGAGCTCCTAAGGGAAGCTGGGCCTGAACTGAGTTCTGAGCGCCAGGCTCTTGGGGCTGCTGTGCAGCTGCTCCGGGAACAGGAGACCCGTGGCAGAGACTTGCTGGCCGTGGAGGCAGTGCGTGGCTGCGAGGTAAGGCCGTGGCTCATCACTCCAGTTCAAACGGTCTAGCCTTGTGGCCTTAGATGCAGTGTGGCTGGTGACAAGAGAACTAGACTCAAGGTCAGAGGGCCCAGGCTCTAATTCCTAATCAGCTAGATGGCCTTGGTCAAGTCACTGAAATTCACTGGGCCTCAGTGTCCTCATCTATAAATAAAGAAGCTATGTCCTGCCTGACATCCCATGTGCTTTCCTGTTCCATTCCCAATTCTTCTCTTTCCTTATCTACTCTGTTCTTCCTCAACACCCAATACATACGTTATTCTCCCCTACCTAGTTTCTTTCTAGCCCAGAAGTTCCAGAATAGGTAGGGAACCTGCCTCCTATAGGATAGACCTCTTTCCCCTTCAATTCTTTGCTGATTCTCTTCCTGGGTCAGAATGGTGCTTTATCCCCAACGTTCAAAGATTTCCCCACTATAACCCTGTAACCACACTATGGGAGGGGGAGGCTATAACCCTACTATACAGCGTACCTTCTGTCTGGAAAGGCAGGGCTATGTTACTAGGTCAGGTGCACTGTGCGTGGTGACCATGGATGGATTCTAGGTCAAGGCCCTCACTGATTTCCTAACTCAGCCTGAGAACCAGTACATTAGGCCCCTTGCCCTATAAATCTCATTTTTACTCCCCACAAAATATACTCAAAGGGCTCCAAGGCCAATTATCTTTCCTTTTCCTTTCCCCAGACAGATCTGAAGGAGCAGGGACAGCTCCTGCACCGGGACCCCTTCACTGTCATCTGTGGTCGAAAGAAGTGCCTTCGCCATGTCTTTCTCTTTGAGCATCTCCTCCTGTTCAGCAAGCTCAAGGGCGCTGAGGGGGGGTCAGAGACCTTTGTTTACAAGCAGGCCTTTAAGGTACAATGCTGGAAAGGGGAGATTTGGAGAGGGATGGGACAAGAAGCCATGCTCTTCTTGAGAACTCAAGATGTTTTGGACATTCAACCCCAACCGAGGTTCAGAATCTGCATCATCTAAAACAGGCTTTGACCTTAATCAACCATCAGGTTAAGGTGTTGGGGGAGTGATAGCAACTCCTGTTACTGTCATTGGGGTTTTCCTTATCATTCATGTGGGACACTCATGAGGCATTCCAACCCAGAATGGAGGAGGACCTTTCCATTAAGAATATATGTTTTCTGAGTTAGGGGTGGTCCCTGGGGGTCAGGAGAGAGGACTCTATTATCTATCTATCTATCTATCTATCTATCTATATCTTGAGTTGATGGAACAAGTAGAACTGAACCCAAGATGAGGGAGGCCTTGCTTCAGGAAACAGCTTTGGTATTCAGATAAACATCGGTAGAGACCTCTAATCCTAGGGGCACCTGGCTGGCTCAGTCAATAGAGCATACACCTCTTGATCTTGGGGTTGTGAGTTCAAGCACCACATTGGGTGTAGAGATTACTTAAAAATAAAATATCTAGGGGATGTCTGGGTGGCTGAGTCAGTTAAGCACCTGACTCTTGTTTTCAGTTCAGGTCACAATCTCACAGTTTGAGGGATGGAGCCCCACGTTAGGCTCTGTGCTGACAACGTGAAGCCTACTTAAGACTCCCCTCCCCCACACATGCACGTTCTCTCTCTCTCTCTCTCTCTCTCTCTCTCTCCCTCCCTCCCTCTCTCTCAAAATAAATATTTAAAATAAAATAAAATAAAATAAAATAAAATAAAATAAAATAAAATAAAATAGACCTAGAGGCCTAGGTCAGGCAGTGCGGCATGATTCTAAGGGTTTCTAAACTTTCCTCCCCTACGTTCGTTCCAGCTCTTTAGGGGCGAGTACAGTATAGGGAAAAAAGCCTAGGTTCGGAATAATGTAGACATGGGTTTGAACCCTCTTTCTCTGCTAAGCTGTGATAAACCCTTGGGCAAGCTGCTGCCTGTCTCTGGGCATTCCCCGTCTGTAAATTATGGTTGTTAGGAAGCCTACATGTAGAGCACTTGGCATATGGTAGGTGTTGAGCAAACATTTACTGAACATCCACCAGATGCCAAGCTAAGTGTAGTGCTTTTCCATGTGGTACCATCTAGCCAGGATTCACTCTGTCTTCACCCACTCTCCTCCGCTCTTTCTCAGACTGCTGACATGGGGCTAACAGAAAACATCGGTGACAGCGGCCTCTGCTTTGAGTTGTGGTTTCGGCGGCGGCGTGCACGAGAGGCATACACTCTGCAGGCAGCCTCACCAGAGATCAAACTCAAGTGGACCAGTTCTATTGCCCAGCTGCTGTGGAGACAAGCAGCCCACAACAAGGGTACCGGGCAGGGCCAGGGGAGGGTGTGCTTGGGGTCAAGGTTATGGCAGGTTAGCCAGAGCATGTGGAGACCACTTGGGAAACAGGGTGTGGGATGGAGAAAGAATGACTTCGGAGATGATTCAAGATCTGACTTGAGAGAGATTGCTGACATAGAAATTAGTGTAAGGTGTACCAAAAGGAAAGAGGAAGCTACCAATTTCAGGAAAGCAAGAGCAAATGGCGGGGCAAAAGGGAATGAGGGACAGCTCACTGGACCTAGGGTCCAGAATGTACTTGCTGGGTGACCTAGACCAGTACGTGTGTTTCTTTTTGGGGTTTTTTGGCTGGATTTTTGTTTATAATTCTCTGAACCTCATTCCACTCATCTGAAAAATGGAAAGTAACAGCTACATTTTAGTGTGATAGGCCCGATTAAATAAGGTGATATATATGGATACACTTGGTAAACTATAAATGTATGTAAAAATGAGGGGTTTGCTCTTAATGTCCACAATAAAGGGCAGAAGGTGAGTATTAGAAGGTGGGTGGGTGGAATGCCAAATAGGCAGACTGCAACAAATAAGATACAAGAGACGGATGTCTGAGGAGGAAGTCTAGGACCACCATCACCATCCGTGTAGTAACAGTCGACAGCAAGAGTAATAGGAGATACCAGATGAATGAGAATTGGCAAGGAGCAAAAGAAGTGTCTCCCATTCCACTGCTAGGGCTTGGAGCGAAGAGGGGCTGAAGGAGGTTGGTAACAGGGTCTCTGTTCCCTAGAGCTCCGAGTGCAGCAGATGGTCTCCATGGGCATTGGGAATAAACCCTTCCTGGACATCAAAGCCCTTGGGGAGCGGACGCTGAGTGCCTTGCTCACTGGAAGAGGTGAGGGCCAGAGTGCTGGGGGGGGGTGGCCCCCAGAAGTCAAGACCTTGAGAGTGAGGGCACAGTGGGGAGGCATGGTGGAAAAGTAAGGAAGGGTAATGAGTGGACATGTCCTCCCAGAAATTGTGGGACTGACTGGGAGGCCCTCTATGAGACTGAGGGTCACTTCAGAGAGCCGGGAGGGCTTTCCCACACCACCACCCCACCACCACCCCCCCTCTCTGCAGCCGCCCGCACCCGGGCTTCCGTGGCCGTGTCATCCTTTGAGCATGCCGGCCCTTCCCTTCCCGGCCTCTCACCGGGAGCCTGCTCCCTGCCTGCCCGCGTCGAGGAGGAGGCCTGGGATCTGGACGTCAAGCAAATTTCCCTGGGTGAGGCACCTCTCAAGGGGTGGCTCTCAACAGCTGGGTCATCGTGGTGATATTCAGGCTGCTTGCTGCTAAGCAATTCCTTTTTCTAGCCAAGTAGCCCAGTTGCCATGACAACTATGTACAGCTTCCCCATTGCTAAAAGAGCTTTCCATTTGGTTGCTAGGGTAATGCTTACAGCAGCCTGTTGCTAAGAAGCACTTCCTCTGTACCTCTCTCTCTAGCTCTCCTTGAGTTTCTATGGAAACTGCTCAGCTTCCTGTTGTACCCTCCTGGTTCACCACGGCAATCCTTATAGTTTCCTGTCGCTTCTTCCCTGGTTGCTCTAATGATGCTGCTGACAATTTCCTGCCTCTTGGTAGGGGGGTTCTCTTGCAAATGGATTGCTATGGTGACTCACAGCTTCCTGTTGCTATGGAGCTTTTTCTTCCCTGATGGAGCAGCTTGGTTGCTTAAGGTAATCTAGAGGGGTTCTATACCCTGCTCTCACCCTAGCTTCCCCTCCAGCCCCAGAAACACTTGACTCTTCTGGAGATGTGTCCCCAGGACCAAGAAACAGCCCCAGCCTGCAACCCCCCCACCCTGGGAGCAGCACTCCCACTCTGGCCAGTGGAGGGATCTTAGGGCTGTCCCGGCAGGTAAGTCCCTGCGTTAGGGCTGGGAATGGGGTGATCTCTTCAGCCACTTTCTGGGTGGGATATTCTGATCATTCAACCCACGGGGGCAGTGGGAACCAATGAGCCTGTGCACCCAGCAAGACCGCAGGTTGTATATATTGTCCAGTCTGCCTTCCTCCTCTCCCACAGGCTTGGCTGAGAGGCATCAAGGTTAGAAGTAAAAAGGAATCTTAAGTAAAGAGCATAGGGGGCACCTGGCTGGCTCAGTCAGTTAAAAGTCCGACTCTTGACTTCAGTTCGGATCATGGAGCCTGCTTGGGATTCTCTCTCTGTCTCCCTCTGCCACTCCCCCACTCATGCTGTCTCTCAGGATAAATAAGTAAACTTGATTAAAAAAGTAAACTTAATTAAAAAAAAAAAAGGAGCATAGTGCAGGAGTGGATGGAAAGGGGGTAATGCCAACAGCATTTGGACTTGGATTAAATCAGCAAAATTCAGGAACTTTGAGGAGGAGGACAGAGAGGTGAATTGGCAGGCTTAGGAGATGGGGAGGAGTATAGAAAAGAGGACGTTTCCTTAGCCTTTAAGTTCACTGCACTTCCTCTCCTTGCAGAGTCATGCCCGAGCCCTGAGCGACCCCACTACACCTCTGTGACCTGGGTGAGTCCGTACCCCTTCACTACATCCAGCATGCCTTCCCTTTTGTGCGTGCTGCCCTCCTCCTGGCTGCTTGGAAGTCAGCTTCTCCCCTCTCCCAACCTATCTCCCTCTTCTCTCCTGGCTTCTAGAGAAGACGGAGAACTTGGCTCCAGCCTCCCTCTCAGCACATTTTGGGCTGGGATGGCAGTGGGACATAGTGGAGGACTGGAAGGGCACTGAATGCTTCCTTTCCTCTGCTTCCTGGACAGAGAGGAGGTCCAAGGACCGGCGTGTTTCCCTGCTGCTGTCTCTAGCGCTCTCCAGCCGAGTGCCTTCCTGCAGGAACCAGAGTGACCACACTTGCTTGCCTTCATACTCCGGAGGTGGAGTATGATCCCTCATCCAGTCCTGCCCCATCCTGGGCTGCTGCATACTCCCAGGACACGGCTCCTTGTTAGCCTGAGTTCTCCCCTTCGTCCCATCCCACCCCGACTCTCCCTGAGAACACTCATCTCTGCCAGGTCAGCTGTTGTTCCTGGTGACTCCATTCTGGGGTGTCACAGGAAACAGAGCTATGCAAACCATTATGGGAGGGTGGGGTGGGGAACTGCAAACTTTATACATGTAATTACTGTTATTATAATACTATTGTTATATTAAATGTATTTACTCACGCTTTGTCTCAGCAGAGCTAGAGCAGACCTCTGCGTTGAGGTGATCCTGCTAACTTGAGCGCTTCCCCTTCCCCAACCACTAACTAGAACACAGAAAATAAAACCAAGGCTTCGAGGTACCCAGTACCCGTACAGGCCCTGGGTGTAGGAGAATGTGCTTCTTCACAGTGGCGCCTAGAGGCTCAGTGCACCCTTTGAAGTTTCTCCTCTCTCACTGCACCTACTTCTTGAGGCTGAGCTGGTCACAGTCAAGCTGGGATCCAGCACAGTCCAGCAGTTCTCAAAATGAGGTACTTAGACCACAGTGCATCAGAATCTCCTAGGCTACTTGTTAAATGCTAATTCCTGGCCCTGCCCCAGAGTTGCTGAAGCCAAAAGTCTGAGGGTAAAGCCCAAGATTCCTCATTTCTCATTAAGCTCTTTGGGTGTGATTACTAAGTGCCTGAAGTGAATTATTTCTGAACAAAATGGCTGAAGGAGGACAGGACATAGGCAGACAGACACAGTGCCCTGTGCCTCAAGACACCTGTTTATTGGGGACACAACTCTGCGACAGGGATGACAGTAATCGTACCAAAAATAGCGACGTCTACAGGGCCCCTGAAGGGGCTAGAAGGGTACAGTGCCCCCCACCCCCACCCATTGTACAAAAATAAACTCTCACGCCTATGGACCAGCAAAGACTGGCAGAGCGGCTCCTCAACAGGGACACAGCCCTCTGCCAGCCCTGGGACCCCGTTCTTTGATCCTCACCCCTGCCACTTCTAAGGCACTGTGACTCCCCTGGGCTGGGTGGGTAGCGCCCGCCCACCCTCCTACGCCCTCCACCCCCTCCACCTCTGGTCCGCCTGGGGCTGGGATATGGGTCCCACGCTGCCCCCTGCTGGCTGCTCTACCCAACTACCTCTAGCGCTCCCCCGCTCCCGCGGGGTAAGCTCACTAAACTAACCGCCCCTAAGAGGGCTCCCTACCGTTCCTGTCCCCCCAGCCCCGCCTCTCCTGATCTCGACAGCCCGGGGCCCTCCTCCCCTTCCTGCGGAGGACTGGGAGGGGTCTCTCCCGACTGTACAGGGGTGTAGGACGGGGACGCATCGGCCTGGGGCGGCCTGCGGCCCCGAGCCCTGCGGCTGTGGTGCACTTGCAGGTGCAAGGCCATGAGCTCAGGCGCTCCAGTGGCGAAGGGGCAGAAGAGGCATCGGTGGAGGGCACCCCCCGGCCCAGCCTCGCCTCCTGGCCCCGCCCGCAGGGACAGGTCCAGGGGTTCGGCCTCACCGCCTCGCCCGTTGCGCAGGGTCCTCCCGGGGCTGGCAGGCTTCCGACGGGACCCCGGCGCAGCGCTCGAAGGGGGCCGGGGGTTCGCCGCGCCCTCCACCCAGGTCGCAGGCTGCGGAGCCGTCTTGGCTCCCGACGGCTGTGCGGAACCCCGCTGGGAAGGGGGCGGTGGCTCCGGGGGCGGTCCGGGGCCTGCTCCGCTTCTCTGCTCTCGGTGGTGGCGCTGCAGGTGATACTTGAGCGAGCCGGATTGGGTGCCCGCGTAGTCGCAGTGCGGACACTTGTAGGGGCGCTCGCCTGGAGAAACGGGTGGGACAGGGTCACAGAGGCACAATCACCGCTCACCCCCACCCACATTTCGCTCTAGGTACAGACCCCTCTGGACCAGAAGAAGAAAAAACAAAAACAAAAAAAACACTGCCACCCCACCCCCTCTGATTTAACAAAGCAGCAAGCGGATCTGGTACCCCTCTCATCTCTCTTCCTGCCCTCCAATCCCCTCCCCACCCCAGAGACTGGTCCCCTCACCTGTGTGCACTCGCAGGTGCACTTTAAGGTGATGCGCTGAGCGGAAAGATTTTCCACAGAAGGGGCAATCCTTTCCTGTGGCTCCCCGGCCCCCTTCAGGCCGGGACCCTCCAACTAACAGCCCATTCTCTTCTGCAATACACACATTAAGGAAGTCAGAATGGCCCTTTGCCCTAACCCTATCGGGGCCATGTGTCCCCACACCCACCCTTTAGGATTCCTTCCCCTCCAGGCCCAGAAGCAAACAGTACATTTGAGGGAACCTGAGGGGGTGGATTTGTTGTGAGTGGTGCTGTGCCTGTGAAAAGTGGCCTCCAGGAGCGAAAAAAAATGGAGAATTAAGAGACAGGTCTTTTTAAAAGGAGGGGACAGGAGGGCAGCGGTGGCATCAGAGTGGGCCCAGGGTGTGGAAACCTTGGAGAGAAAAGACCCCTTACATACCCTGCGTGGCGGTGGACCTTGCTTGGGTCCCCGCGGCAGGCGCAGAGTGCCCTGGCCCCTCGCCTGGGCGGGGATGCAGTGAAGCCAGAGGGCCCAACGCCCTGCTCCGGGCCCAGGTCTCCTCCTCCGCCTCCACCACCTCCTCTTCCTCCTCTGGCTCCTCGGCGCGATGCCGGCGAGCCCGGGCCGGGAGAGTGGAGGGCAGTGGGCGGAAGCCTCCGAAGCTGCGGCCAGCCCCAGGCTCAGCGCCCTCACCATTGGGCCGGGCCTCGCCAGCTCGCAGGCTCAGATAGCCCAGGAGACTCGGAGGCTCACGGCGCTCTGCCGGAGTGGGTGCTGGGGCCAAGAGGAGCGCGGGGCCCAGTGGCTCATAGGCCAGCAGGCCCAGGTCAGGAGGCTGAGGGGCCCGGGCCGCCCCGGAACCAGGACCCGGGGCACGCAACGGGCCCAGCTTGCTGGCGTGCACCTTCATGTGGTTCTTAAGGAACCAGGGCTCCTTGAAGCAGCGGCCACACACGGGACACGCGTGATCGAAGGAGGCCTTGTGCTTGCGCATGTGGCCCTTGAGAAACCAGGACTGCGTAAAGCTCTGGCCACACACTTGACAGCGGAACTCCGGGGGTGCTGGGGGGTCCTCGGGAGCAGCAGGAGCGGGGACGGGAGCTGTCTCACGTTCGGGCTCCGGCTCAGACTCTGGGACCGATCTGGGTTCAGGTTGGGGTGGAGGCTGAGGCTGGGGCGCAGCCGAGGAGGCCGCCAGGGGGCGCTCAGGAGCTCCGTGGGCCGTCAGGCTGTGATGCAGCAGCTCCTCCTCCTGGCTGGAGCCAAAACTGCACAGGCCGCACTTCCAGGGCCTGTGCAGGATGTGCAGGTGGCGTTCGCGCTCCGCCGCGGTGCGAAACTTGCCTTTGCAGAAAGGGCAACGGAAAGTGGACGACGAAGGAGCCTGGGGCCGCGACAGGCCTTCGGTGGCAGGGGTGGACTGCATGCCCCCTGAACTTCGGGCTCTCCCCAGCCGGGCCTCGCGCAGTAGCGCACGCTCCTCCAACTCCAGCAACAGGCGTGCGGCCGGGCTACGCGGGCGCTCGGGCTGGTGCGTGCGCAGGTGAGAGCGCAGCAGGGCCCGCTGCGCTGCGCGGTGGCCACAGTGCGGGCACTGGAAGGCCTGGGCGCCCGGGTGCGCCCGCAGGTGCAAAGCCAGGATAGAGTTGAAGCGGAAGCGCTTCCCGCATACAGGGCAGGGGAAGCGCCTTTCGCCTGCGCGACTCTCGGACCAGCCCACTGCTCCCATCCCTGGAGACCCGGCGCTCACGCCTGGCCCGTTGGAGTAGCGCTGCAGATCCAGTTCGCCGTCGAATGCTGGCGGCGAGGGCGCTAAGTGGCCGCCCGGGGCACGGGGACGTGAGCCCTGTGAAAAAAGATGGTAACAGTGCAAGGGGTGGAGAAGGGAGAGCTGTGGGAAAAGCAAGGGCGCAGAAGGCCAGAAGAACACCCGAGGGAGGGTGGGTTGGGGCCTGAATCAAGAACACCAAGTGCCCTTCCCACTCACCGTGGGGGAGGTGGGATGTGAATGGGAATTGAGCTGTTGGGGCCACAGACATAACTTCTAATAATGGGAGGTCAGAGAGAGAGAGAAACAGGGAGGGGGAGGAGTATAGTTGTAAGTACTTGCAGGTTCAAGCCAGAGCTTCTTCACTCACCTCCATGGACCCCCTTCACATTCTTTGGTTCTTGGGAGTGCAGGGAAGAGGAGGAGGAAAAGCTGCTAGTGAAGGCAACAGGTGCTGAAGAGCTAAAGCAAGGGAGACAGATTTGGAGGAAAAGATGAGCCCTGGTTTTCAGCAGTGGAAAGAGGCACCCCCAACCCCATACTCTTAGCACTCTTAGCTGAAACCTATCCCTTCATTCTCCTTCCTTGTATCCTGAGACAGGAGGGGACTACTATCTTCAAAACTTGTACTCCTTGATTTGCCCAGCCCACAGGCTCCCTGATAACCCAGCTGTCTTCCCCCAAATTATTCATTTTACATGCTTAGTCCAAACCACCACCACCACCTCTGCCACTAACCACCACCACCACCACCACCACCACCAACTACCACCACCATCACCACCCCCTGGTGGTGGAAACCATCACAATACACCCCTCTCTCATTTAAGTCGGGCTATACAGCTTGATGAGCAAATGGGGTGGGCCTGCCATACTCCCCAGTTATCCAAGTGGGACTAGTTGCTCTCAGACCCCTAACTGACCAGCCAGCCAAACAACCTTCCATACTCCACAGTCCTTCCTTCTGCCCTTATCCTGTCTTTTCCCCCTCATTCTCCCTCCCTCCGCCTGGATTCCTGATCCATTCATTTCCATTCATTACAGAGACTCATTCATGCATGGGAGAGAAACACCTCCCAGCAGCAGAGAGTCTGGAGACAGACAGAGGGGGAGGGGCATGAAGGGGGAGAGAGCCAGAGGGAGAGGGAATGAAGAGAGAGTTGGGGGAGGAGTGGAAGTTAAGGGGCTCTGCTGGCCTGGGGAAGGGGTTAAAAACTGCAAATACCGGATAGGATTCATCCCCGTGTTTCAAACCTTGGAGCCTGCAGTTTGATGGGGCATCTCAGCCCCTTTGTCCAGGGCTGTTCCGAGGCAGGCTTTCCTCCTCTCTGCAGGGGAGAGGCTCCCTCACACAAGAGGAGGATTACACTGGCTCTGAGCTCAAGAGGCTGGAGTGAGGGACGGGGGGCGGGGCTGGGCCATCTGCACAGATAGGGGCTCAGCACATGCTCTGAGC